TTTTTTTATTTTAGACCTTCGCGAGTCTTGCATAATAATAATAATTAAGTAGCAGTGGTTTCGTAAATCAGTCACACGTGTTTTGATATGATTTATAAATCATATGACTTATCACATGTGATTTTGATTTTATTCCATCTCTAGTTGTAACTCTTTGGTTGAAGGTGTCCATGGGCGATGTTAGTCAGTTTCCGTCAGGTGAACCGTCTGCTCGTTTGCCGCCCCATGTCAGGATCGTGACAGATGACGATCTATCATTTCTGATGGGAATGTTGCGTTAGTGTGTGTCTATGTATTAAGGTCACTAGCCGTCAAGACTGGTATAAAATTTCAGCAAATTTGTTGAAGGAAGCTATGCCATCAAAATTTTCTAATTATAAAGTGTGCAACGCTAGACTCTCGCTGCTCGCGGTGGCTGGTGAATAAAAGCATGTGTTCAGCACAACGGGTACTCAGTCAATAATTAACTACAACACACGGTCACTTATCAGTCCACCAGACCGAATAATTACAGCCATTTGGGCAATTATTTACTTAAAAAAATTTAGTGCAATTATTATTTGCGATGCTTTTTACCGAGTGAGTGAGGTTAGCGGAGGCCCATCTCTAAATTATTCTGTACAAAAGTTTTTTTTCAGTTTTTCGGTTTGATTAGCAATTTATCCATCGTGTTTTTAAATATTGAAAAGTTTTTATTTTCAAATTGTTTCGTACACACGTATCTTCGTTTAAAAATTGGGCCTCTTTGTGTTTTAAAATCAAAATAAATATGATTAGAAATTACTGCGTGTTTATGACATAAAAGTTTCCATTAAATTTCGTTAATAATGTAAAAAAAACTTTGGATTATGTCAAAAAAACGTTAATACAACGCATACATAAATATTGTGTGTAGAGCACGATCATTTGTACTGTATGTGTGATCATGTGTGTATTTAGAAATAAATAAGTATGTTTATCAGCAGTCTGGTTACCATAGCACAGGCTCTGCCTACTTTGGGATTAGATTACCGTATGATTTTCATTAACCGTTGGTTGCGCTATATATTTTTTCCTTTCTCACAGTTTTCATGCTTTAATTATTTTTTAATGTATTTTGTTTCTGTAAAAGGTATCTTCTCTGTTAAACCCTGTCTTGTTTATTAAGTCCATTCAGGCGAAGAATGTTTAAGCATTTGGCCAACACAGTGCAACCTTGTTTTCAATGGTAAAATTAAAATCTTCGTTTATATCTAAATAATCTCAATGATGATGATAAAAATAATAACTTAAGTAGCAAGATTTATTGTATTGTCTGTATTGATTCCTAATCTCGTCACGTGGGTAGATAAGATCTGCTTTCTATCACATCAATTGAATACAGAGACCTGGAGGTCGGCTCTTTGCTTCAAATTAAATATAATTATTAATAACATCACGTTTACTTTCATCATTATCATCATCATCAGCCTATCGCAGTGCTGGATATAGGCTTCTCCCATTGCACACCACTTAGATCGATTTTGGGCTTCTCGCATCCAGCTCCTGCCAGCCACCTGGCCTGTGGGCGTCCTACACTACGTTTACTTTCTCCAATGTAATTTTCTATGGCAAATTTTCTCATCAATGTCAATGCTAATTGATGGTACTAACGACCTTGCAGCATGGTGACAGTACTCGACAGCAGAGACGGGGGCCGGGGGTTCGATTCCCGCTTAGTGTGAACACCATTAACAGATGAACAAACCCGACGTACTACTCAGGTTGGTCGTTGCAAGAGTAATATGGCAAATAGGACCAGTCGGAGGACCAGACCCTACATCGACCAGTCGCTACGTGCTGTGAATGTGGTACTGCATTGAAAACTATGCCACATTTGCTTTCTTGTCCACTGTAGAGGAGCTGTGGAAAGCAACGGACAAAATGCCGTGGCTGTGGCGGAATTTTAAGCAGACAAAATTTAGGGGAGTTCACGCGTTGACACGAAGAAGAACAGACCCGTCTAAATACAGCAACCAAATCATAACAAAATATAAAACTACTAACCTTATATTTTATACTAAGTTAACAGAATTAGTGCTACAAGTCTGTGTGTGCATTTAATATCTTATATATAAAATTCTCGTGTCACAATGTTCGTTCCCGTACTCCTCCGAAACGGCTTGACCGATTCTCATGAAATTTTGTGTGCACATCGGGTAGGTCTGAGAATCGGCCAACATCTATTTTTCATACCCCTAAATGGTAAGGGTGACCCATCCCTATTTTTTTTTTGTTTTGCAATACAACGTTTGCCGGGTCAGCTAGTAATCCTATATTTGTATGTAAAATATAAGTGAGTCAAGGTTTACTTAGAGAAACCTCACTAATGCTAGTAATAGTATCTTACAGTACTTTGTTTAAAGTAAATACAGGATAAAAGGTGAATGCTTTCATAATTTTTCTGAGAAAATACTCTGTTGTAATCATAAGAGCACAAATGTCAAATGTCACTATTAACAATCAAATAAGGTTATATCATCAACATCACATCATCAGCATTTAATAGTCCACTGCTGGACATAAGCCTCTTCTTAAAAATGAGGTTTTGGACTACTATACCAGGCTGGCCAGACAGGTTGGTATAGGGTTTGTGTCAAGTTTTCTTTCTCTTTGCAGTGCTGTTGTCCTACAGACCCACAGACTCCCACACCACACGGATAAGATAAGGGATGGATAAGGTTTATATAATATGTTTAAAAAATTTTTTTAACAATATGGTTATTGTATGATGAAACAAATTAGCAAAACCCAGACGTTGTTTCAACCTGTTCAATTCTAATGTGTTTGATCTTAACAGGATTTGTTTTTTCTGGAAACAATATGTAGATCTACCACTTACAGTTTCCACTAAGAAAGGATAGATCTGTATATGTATAATAACAGCTAAGTAATATAAATTCTTTAATTAAACATTTCTGTGAAATAATTTCTAAACAAGAAATGAATTATTCTTTCATTACTTCTCTGGTTAATGTTTAAGTTTAAGAAGTCTCCTTAATTTATACTTATATAATAAAACTGCAGATTTTTATTTGAATGTTTAAACATGGTAATGCCTGGCAGTATGATGAAAAGAATTGACTATGTACCTTCACACTTTGACTACTAGGAGCAGTGACTGTCAAAGAAAACTGTGGGAAATGGTAAGTTAAGAAAATCGGAGTGTTCAAAAATTCTTTAAAAAATATACATGGTAATATCGTAAACACTTACTGTACAAATCAGAAAGCTGGCCATTATAAAAAATGGTCTTAGATGTTTCTCTTAGTGGTAATAAATATCACACTAGACAACAATAGATTTATTCTTGAAATCAAAGTATTGCTGTTGAAATGTAGGTATGTTGGTGTCTTTTAGAGATCTGTGAGAAAAAATATTCAGATAAATTCTTACAAATATAGACGATATCAGTTCTTATTGATGATACATGAACTGTGTTAGGACACACTCAGTATTCAACTTAGGCAACACAGATGTGGACATCAAGGTTGCAAATTAGTAGTAGGGTTGCGACGCAAATGTACTCTACACTCTCACACTACTCTTTTGGTAACTGAAGGATTTATTGTTCATATGGTATTGGTATTGGTTGTGGGCTATGGCTTCCACATTTAGTATTGTTCATATGAAGAATAGATAACTTAATCTAGGTATGGGAAAAGAAGAAATACCATAAAGTTGCAATTTGATGTAGTAAAAAACAATTTTTATACAATAAAACTTTAACGATTCACAATTTGGGTATCAATTAATTTGAACTGGTGTTTTTGCATAATCCTTGACATAGTGTAAGTTTGTTTAAATTTTTATTTGTTAAAAAAAAAATACAGCAAACCTCTTTGCTGTATTCTGTATCTAATGTGTTAAGTAAAAATTACAGTTCTGTGTTCTACTCATATACTCAAACAATATTGAAGTGTTTTGAGTGAGAATCTCTTTTAAGTTTTTGGTCAAAGATGACAGACTGTTATTATTGTGATCATATGATCGGTGAGACAAAACACGTTTATAAACTGTTGTTGTTAAACACATTTTAAATGGCTTTCTCATAGCTTCTAACTATGAATTTCACATTCTAAATAGATGACTTAGATGACTCTAGAATTTTCCGTGTGGTGACGGATTAAGAATACGGAGTGTCACCACCCCTATTCATCCCGTGGGTGTCGTAAGAGGCGACTAAGGGAGCAAACTACGCAGAACAACAGAACTGCACAGAGAAGGAAAACTTGACACAAACCCTATACCAACCCGTCTGGCCAGCGTGGTATAGTAGGCCAAAACCTCCTTTCTAAGGAGAGGCCTATGTCCAGCAGTGGACTAGTAAAGGCTGTTGATGATGAAATAGATGACAACTCCACAAAAGGTCACTAAATGTGGCAAAAATTTAATTATTCTGTAGTTAAACATATTTTAGATGACTAATAAGATTTTAATCCTTATTCTAATTAGTCATCCAAAATGTATGTGGCATGTTATGTTCTCAAAACATGTTGACATGTATAAAAGATAGATTATACATAATTATGTATAAAAATTAAATATCTATAAAATAGTGATGTCAGATGTTTCAAACACATATAGGTACATAAAAATATAAAAATGTACTGGTGTTACATTCGTGTTTGAAACTCTAGAAAGTAAAAAAAGCCAATATATGTATTTTTATAATAGTTCAAAGCTGTACATGTTTTTTCTCTTTATTATTTCGTACGTCTATTATATTTGCAAGTATAAATTATCTACATTCGAGAAACTGAACGAGTTTTTTGAATGAATCATGCTATGAATTAATATCGCGTAAATTTCAGGACTTCGCAAGGCAAGTAAACATGGAGTAAATTTTGAATACAAAGAGCTGGCGGGAAATACGTTGCTACGTAAGTAACACAAACAATGGGTAGCTAATGGGAAAATTCAATGGGAATCAAGTCATTTCAACAAACACTAGATTGTGGTAAACATGTTGTTATATGTACTTACACTTCAAGTATGCGGTCCCCTTTCCTGATACCAGCTTGCTCAGCCGCCCCATTCTCCAGGACAGCGCTGACATGCTGCAGGGGAGCGTACAGTTCACCGTTAATCGATCTTAACTGCCCACCCTCAGACACTTGACCACGCACATTGAACCCAAAACCAGTCTCAGTTTTATAGATAGTAACGCGACGAGGCCCATTATTAGCCACTGGACCCCTATTATTTCTTTCGGTTCTAATAATACTGTTATTATCGGTTTCTGTCTCAGCCATTTTGAACGAATTTCATCACAGATAGTTTCAATTTGATATGACAGTTCGATATGGTGTAGCCAACATTGAGTGGTTGAAGTAAAAAAAATGACATTCCGGAAATTCTTCACCATATTTTCATTTCATTTTAGTTATTTTTATTGTTCTATAATTATAAAATAATTTACATTTAAAAGCGAAGCACTATATTTATATTTCAAAATAAATGGCTACTTCTTTAGCGCCATCTAGTATGTGGTACAATAATACTGCCAACTAATATTTGGCTCGCAGGGTAAAACAGGCTCAGGTTTTAAATTTTCAGTCGCTAGATAGCAGTGAATTCGAAACAACGTGGTACGAAAATTTCATATTCTTTCACATCAAAATCAGCTGTGAACATCAGTATGGCCGCTCCATTATCTAAAAAATAAAATTGTTTTTGTAAAATCATACAAAAAAAATAGTAAAGTGCAGTTTTCGTACTTACACCGTCTAATATTGTACATTTACGAACAGTGTTGATGTTGACTAAAAGTGTTGCGTCATGACAGAGACCTCTCACTGACAAACAAATACAATAAAAATTGCGACTCGCTTATTACGGCGACTTTGTAATTTCTATTTGGCTCGTGTATAGTTTCTGTCATTCGGTCGGGGGCTGATGTTATTACTGAACCGTTATCGAAGTAAATATAATGAGTAGTGTTAGATTGAGCTTCGTATCCGTGAGTAGGATAGCAGTAAGAAGAAATTCACAATTAATATCAGGTGAGTGTTGAATACATAATTTCTCTACGTTGTTGTTTTTTCGCTAGTTGGCGGTGCTCCAGACCCGTGTCGCAGTATACAGCGTCGCCCTTTGTGTTCGGGTGCATACGTGAATAGGTGTTTGATAACAAAACGTGATGTTTTTCACGCTTATCTTGCGTGGTTACTCCATAATCCGCGCATGGTGGCGTGTCGTAGAGGCTGGACGATTACCATCGGTTACGCATTAATTATTTTAATGTAGTTGTTTTCTGTTGTAAGCCCTATCAAGGCGAGCGGACACAAGGAAGGTCAAGGGTGTCACATGCATTATGCTACTTCATACAGTAATGAAAGTAACTCTTGACTCGCCACTTGTATCATGGTGTCCTTTCAAAAGATAGGACAAATGAAGACTAATGACCTCTAATGAACTTTGGTGTTTATCATCATTATTTAATTTTCTTGATAAGACTATGTCTAGAATCTATAACATCATAAAAAAAACATTTAAAAATATGTACATAATTATATAGTAGTATTATCTAACAAAAACAATTTTGTCTATGATATTTTTTTTTTAACACAATGAGAATCTCATAAGTAATAATTTAATGATTTATCCCCATAGTTGTCATGACAGTTAATTATTATTTACCTGTGCATTGCAATTCTTTGACACATACCTCACCTAACCTGACAACTAATTATAATTTATGCAAGCATTAGTGATCTTCAATTAATTAGATCTTCAATTTAAAAAAAAAAGCCTAATTGTGACCTTAAATAATGCTAAGGTTAAACTATTACTTTGAAGAAAAAAAAATATTTCTTACCTTGACATTATTAAATATTTATAATGACCTCCTTTAAGTTGTTATTTTTTTTTACTATTTTTATATTTAAAAAAAAGTGACTACCATTGTTAAAACATAGACAAGCTTTGGAAACACACATATCACTGATTTATAAATAATTTAAACTAAAAAGTAACTATAAATTGTGCCATATACTTACTTGCTACAATAAATACATATAAAGTTATAAAAAAACCCATCAAGTAAACATTAAAATGTTACATGATGGAGGTTTAATGTTATGGACAAAAATATGTTAAACCTGTTTATAAATCTAACATATTCAGTTTTCTATACTATATAATATGTAACATAAAGTTCGTGTGTTGGTATGTTCAGAGTAATCTCTGGTACTACTGATCTGATTATGGTAAAAACCTAACTACACTTAAATTCTTGTGTAAATTTCTGCTTTAACACCTCCATTTTATATATTCAAGATATGAATAAATACATATTTAGGCATATTTAATTTTCATGTTAAATTCAAAATTTATGTGTAGTAAAAGTAAAAATATAAGAAAAATACAATTTTGATGATTTTGATTAAAAAGACAACTCTTAGGAATATATCCAGAGGTGGCAGGGGACATCATAAACATACATGAAACGGACACAAAGAACAATAAGACTCAGAACAACAATTTGTGGATCACACAAAGTGTCGTCCCATGTGGGGATCGGACCCACAACCGGTGTGGCAACCGTTTAACATCCATGCAGTCACATAACATCACATTTCAAATCTTTGGAATTCTTGGAATTTCTCTACTATAATAATACTGGTTGGCTGGCAGAGAATGGCCAGGGCATTAAGTCCTCCGATGTACACATGTGCTTAAAGTTGTAAAAATATAAATAAATATGCATGAAAAATTCTCAACCCTATTTTATAACGACCCCATAGAATCACTTATGTACTTATATAGGAGTATTAATGAAAACTAGAAAATATAGGTAGCTAATCTTTTTTTTTTCGTAAAGAATATAATTTAACGTAGTTTGGAATGAAAAAAAAATAGCTCCCCATACAAACTTTTTAAGGGTAGTGTTGAAAAATTAGTAACAAAGTTTTTTGTTACTTTAGTATTTACTGTGAGTATGAAAACACTACTATCAAATATTTTGCATTTTGCCCCATTAGGGGTGGAATTTTTTAAAATCCTCAGTGCACACCTATGTCAGCTAAGGAACCTTTGTGAAGAACTGTTGCCATCTAATAGGGGTTTTCCTGTAGTAAGTTAGTGTCAATTCATACACTTTCTAATTTTGATTGCTTACTTTACCTACTAAATATACACATCATCTTACTAAATTTCAATTTTCAGTATTATATACTGGCATTTCCATACGTATGTTATGCAATAATACAATATTTTATTAGAATTTTGTTTTGAAATTTCTACAACAACAACATTTTTAAGATTTAAAAACAAAAATACTTATCCAAAAACAAATATTTACCATTTTTTTTTTATATTCTATGTTGTTGACAGTATTCTAGAGTTTTAAATGAGTACCTATTAGCCATTCATGAAAGTCTATTAGAATACTGGGGGGGAAGTGTTTTCCCCTGGCATAGAGCCTGATTAGGCATGGTGTCAATTCGGGGAGGACCTGTAATAACATGGTCCGGGTTGTGCCATTAGGGTGGTTTTTAGTGTAATCACTACATACTCCTGGTTCCTGAGTCCTCGAGGAGCAGAAGAACCAAAGGAATTTCCATCCCGGCAAAACAAAAAAAAAGGAAAAATTATTCAAAATAATTCCTATAAATCCCAAGTATTTTAAAAACTAGCTTATTAACAGCGGATCTGCCACCACATTATATGTGCCACCACATATTATGAATACATGGTGCATTGACACGTATGTCCATGACAAAAAGTGATAAATCCACATCGATAGATGTTATCACTGGGCTTATAACATTTTTAGTTTTGTTTTATCAAGTTTGTTTGTGTAAACAAATGTGATGGCACGATTTTTAATACGGTTTCAGTTTTTCACATATTTTTGGTTGGTTTATAGTGACAGTGTTGACAGTCAGATTTGATAAAGACATTTTCAATTTTCCATAGACTAAATGGACCATGTTCTTATTAGATCCTCAATGTACCAAACTAGTATTGATGCTAGACTGTTAAAAATAATATGTATTTATATATAACCTTTTTAGGGTAAACCTTTTTGTTAAAATGATTAGAAATTGATGCCTCGGTGGCGCAGCGGTTCGATTCCCGGGTCGGACCAAAAGTTTGTATGATCTGCAAATATTTGTTTCGGAGTTTGAGTGTTTTTTTATGTATAATTTGTATGCATTTACAAAAAAGTATTCAGTCAGTCAATTTAGCTTTCATACTACAAGCTTTGCTTAGTTTGAAACTAGATGGCGTTGTGTGTCAGATGTCCGTAATATTTACAGCCTTTAACAGTCCACTGCTGGACATAGGCCTTTCCTTAGAAACGAGGTTTTGGCCTACTGTACCACGCTGTCCAGACGGGTTGGTATAGGGTTTTTGTCAAGTTTGCCTTATCTTTGCAGTTTTGTTGTCCTACATAGCTTGCTTCCTTAGTCGGCTCTTACGACACCCACGGGATGAATAGGGGTGGTGACAATCCGTATTCTTAATAATTTACCACACGGACATTCCAAATAATAACATAATTTATGAAATGAATCTAGCAAGTGAATTCGCAGCGACGATATACCAGCCTTCGGTTAAACTAGACTCATTACTTCCTAGTAGAGGATTCGATCCCGGGATCCCGGTCATATTTTAGTCCCGAAATTTTCGGGATCAAATTTAATGAATCCCGGGATTTCGGATAAAATTTCTGGGCAATTTAATTAAAAAATATGAGTAGGTATCTATAAACATTGGTATCTTAAGCATATAGTTTTTTTTATTGTTTATCTAAATAAGTCTAAAGAAGTTGATTTTTTGAAGTTTATTGTTAGTTTCATAAATTATTTACCGAAACACAAAACAAACTAGGCACTAGTTTGTTCATTTTATAAGAAGAAAGTATAATTTTGTTTAACCGCCTCTTTGGAGATTTAAAACTTAAATATTGTATGTCACAAAACTAAATGATAAACAAAAAAAATATTTTGACATGTTTTACTGTCTTTTGATCCCGAGATTAACTGTAGATAATCCCGAAATCCCGGGATTATAAAAATCGACCGGGATCGAATCCTCTACTTCCTAGTTAAAAGCTATAAATTTTACCAAGCACAATTCACATGGCAGATAACAATAGGTATAAAATTTACATAGAGAAAATTTCATAACATTTTATTTAGACAAGATGTTTCACAACATAAGGTAGATCGTAGTTAGGAGGCCCTATTATAAAAATGGTATGCTTCTGGACACAGTCACGCACCAGCAATAAACATTGTTTGTTATTGCACAGAATATAATCGCACAACAATTAGACCACCTTTTCTAAATTTTATCAGATCACCGTGTATGCGTGATGTCTTAGATTTAGGAGATTGGTATTCGTTATTCATTCAACGCACGATTGTCAGATTATGAGGGATAGTTGGTCCTCTGGTAAGGCAGCGAGAGTCATGTAGGACAGAAGAAACGTAAAAGTGAAATTGATGCTGTTCAAATGCGCTCACTGGGAGGTCTGTGTATTGTAAGATAGATTGATAAAGTGAAGAATGACAGGGTAGAAAACGGTATCGGTTGAAAGAATATTTAGTGGCAAGGTTTAAGGAATGGATGCTGTGATGGTTTGGGCATGTTTAAAGGGTGAGAAAATGATTAAAAGAGTCTTTGTTTACCACAACTGTAGTTTTGTCTCTTAAGAAATATCTTATATATTTTATTTTTCTTCATTATTAGACATACCCGGTAGCGGATTGTAATATATTGTATGTTGCACGCGGAAATAATTCTATCTCCTTAAGTATCACTGTGAGACTAGGTGTTTCCTGTTCCTGGTTATTTATTGTCGATATGCTATAAAACTCCTTTCTTGTTTATAGAGTTTATTCCTTTTTAATTGCTTACTGATTGCTCGATTTATTCATATCAGCGATTTGCTCATGTTAACACATAAATCAAAGTTCAGTACTTCCCTACGGTAGTACGTCCTATACGGTACGAAAACATTGGACGCCTGTGCCTTTTATAAATAAAGAAT